CCCCCATGCCGGCCCTCTCTGCTCCTGTGCCTGGCTGGTGCCAGAGGGGTCCACGCACCCTCCAGCAGCCTGCTCCCACTAACTCCTCTGCTCTCTGGCTCTGTGCTGCCCAGGCGAGTCCCTTTGGCTGTATCCCCTTCGTTCACATCTCCTTGTACCCCAAGATAGACTCCAACTCCTGGAGTGAATTACAAACTCCTGAGGGCAACCCATCTCTTCCTTTTCTTTTTTCACTGAATACACTTAACCCCTGTCTCCCCCTTAGCAGCCAGGAGTTGCTCTCAATACCCAGCCTTACCCAGCTCCCTCTGGGCAATTTTAGATTAATGGAAGCTGCCCAATGTGCCTTGCTTGTTCACCCTTTGCTGTATTTCTCCAGTCCCCCGAATCCACAAAGACCTTTAAAAAATTCTTTTCCAGGGGCGCCTGGGTGGCGCAGTCGGTTAAGCGTCCGACTTCAGCCGGGTCACGATCTCGCGGTCGGGGAGTTCGAGCCCCGCGTCGGGCTCTGGGCTGACGGCTCAGAGCCTGGAGCCTGTTTCCGATTCTGTGTCTCCCTCTCTCTCTGCCCCTCGCCCGTTCATGCTCTGTCTCTCTCTGTCCCAAAAATAAATAAACGTTGAAAAAAAAAAAATTCTTTTCCAGCACCAAGGAAAGCAGTCAAGGGACAAGATTGCTGCTTTTGAGCCGAATGAGACCTGACCACCTCTTCCTGGTCGTGTGACCCTGGGCAAGTCACTGACCTCCGTGAACCTTCGTGTTTCTTCTACAACATGGGGATCTGACATCATTAACGCGCAGGATTGTTAGGAGGACCAAGTGAGTGTTAATGTCTGCACAGCGTTAGCACCCTACCTGGCCCATGGTTAGGCCCCTCAAAATGTTAGACCACCTGTCATTTCTCCCCTTTCCTCTAGGGTTCCCTCTGGCCGGGTCCATGGGATCTGGCTCTCCAGTTCACTAGGCTGCAGTTACAAAGGCAGGGTGCACCAGGGAAAGACCGGTCTGCCACTTACCTTTCACGCAACCCCGAGTAACCGACTTTGCCCCCTACGGGCCCTTTTCCACACACACAAAATGGGACTGTGGCTGAATAATGCTTTCAAACATTTGGCTTTTTCTTTTCTCCTTTCCCCTTTTCCATTTGTCTCTTTATGTGGCTCCGTGGAGGTGGTAAGAGCCCACATCGTTCACTCTGAGCCTAAGGAAAAAGGGCTAAAGCCTAGATGTGATGTACCGAAAAAAGATGGGACAGGAATTTTTCAGTGGGAGCCAAAGGATCCCGGAGGGGCTTGCACAAGGCTTCTCCGGATGCTGTGTGGTACCTCTGGCAGGTGCAAGACCCTCAGGCCTTAGGATGGCGGAAGTCCCCGGGGACAGCCAGACCCTGAAGAGGCAGGCACGGATCACCAGCCATCCTCTGGCACACGGCTGCCCCCACTCTGACCCTCCCTCTGTCCACACAAGGTCACAGGAGCAGGAAGCCAAGCCCCAGAACAGCGGAGACCCACCACTCCCCCCGAGCAAGGGTTCAGAGCCAGAAACACCACGGTAGAAAAATGAGGCCATCTTTCTCTCACGTCTGAGTGCGTGGACTGAGTTCGCACCTGCTGCGGGGCTGATAAGACCTCACGCTTTCTGTGAGGAGTGCTACTGAGATGAACTGAGGTGGACTATATATAAAATACCCGGCCCTGAGCCGGGACGATAATTTTCCCCTCGCCGCAGTGACTTCCATCCCACAGTCCCGATGTGGGCCAGGACAGCAGTTGGAGTCCGGGCACGGAGTCCGCTTGTTTGAAACCTGGCTCTGCCTTTGCCCAGCACGCGAGCCCAGCTCTCTGAGACTTAGGTCCCTCATCTGTGAAAGTCAAGGCGATTCCTATTCCCTGAGCTAATCCCTGACAGGAATAACTGTGATGTCCCATCCCAGGGTGGTAGTCCTTTCCCATGGCTTCTTTCGCCGCTGGGGCTCAGGCCTTACCTTCGGTGGTGAGGCTGTCGATGAAGAGGGAGGAGGAGGTGGTGGTGAGGTCCCCGTCCAAGGGGCTGAAGGAGCCGTTGGGGGAGGACGAGTAGTGGCCCTCGTCCTGGAAGTCCTCACACGTCCTGCCCTCCGCCTGCAAGAAAGACCCAGCGCCACCCTGGACCTCACCGGCCAGCGTGCTACGCAGAAAAGAGCCCTCGAGCGGGAGGACGGAGGGGGCCCCTTCATCCCTCAGCGGCCAGAAAACTTAAGACTCCCGTGCTTGGTTCAAGCATGTAAACTAACCAAAGCTGAGCCCTGAGTGCATTTAAGCCTCCCACTTTATCCTGAAAACGTCTTATCTCCCAGGGCAATTTATCTGTCCGCTGCTTCGAATCCTTCCTCAAGGAAGGAGCTGAGATGCCAGTCTTAAACAAATAAAGCAAATCTGTACATTCAGCACGGCCAGTGTCAGAAGTGGGCTGCTAGACAAGATTTTTTTTTAAGGCCTTAGAAAGCTCATCCAGGCTTACTAATAAAATAGGTGGTGGTGAGCACACAGCCGTGGGGTCTGGGGCTTTATGTCTATTTAAAAAAATTTTTTGGGGGGGCGCCTGGGTGGCGCAGTCGGTTAGGCGTCCGACTTCAGCCAGGTCACGATCTCGCGGTCTGTGAGTTCGAGCCCCGTGTCCGGCTCTGGGCTGATGGCTCAGAGCCTGGAGCCTGTTTCCGA